TGTTGCTGCATGTTAAAATTGAAGTCTTTGTTGTAAAGACTAAGAAGCCAACATTGAAATTAAAATGAAAATTTAAATGAAATTTATATATTAACAATAAATCTAATTAAGTTAATAATACTGCCTTCTAACACCAGCAGTCACACCTTAGATCAAAATAAAGGGGCAAATACATAATTACATTGTGCACAACTTCTTTCTGATATTCAGAACTTTCATATTGGAAAGAGCATGTATGTTGAAAAACTGAACAATAAAAGTTTTAGCACATAGGCTAAATTAAAATTTGCCCCATGCAAACAATTTGCCTTTCCTTATATTTAAAACTCTAACAAAAAACACATGTATAAGTAAATATCTGATAATTGCAGGACAATTGCCTAAGTGAGCAAGGCATATGGTTTTTCAACACTGAGAGAAACATGGTACAAAACTTTCATATTATGTATTTTCCAAAGCCTGCTTAAAAGGCAGGATTCTTAATTTAATTCTATTTTCTTCTTCAGAACTGTTCATTTATTACAGTTCTTCTATTTTCCCTTTTATTTCTCCATGAATTACATGATGCAAGGAAGTATTGTCCCCAGTACTTACAAATAGATGACTGCAAAGTTGCCAATGATAAACACAAAGGTTTTTTGATAAGATTTTTCTGAAGATTTTTCTTTAGGCAGTCAAATTAAACATGAATGTTCAAATTGACAGGAGTCAAAGAAGGCATTTTAAAGATAAAGACAAAAATGCTTAAGTCAGTTATTAACATGACATAGAAAACCTTGCAGAGGCTGGGACAGAATCCTGGCTTCACTTTTTTTTCCCCTCCCAGATTATGCTTCACTCACTGTCTCAAAATCTGGAACAGCTGAGGATAGATTTTTGCCTGTAACAGCTCCCCTTAATACAAACCTCAGTTTCATCTCCAAAACAGCCTCCATTTCACAAAGCAAGTCAAGTATACCCATGTGGGAAAAAATGGTATTATTTAAAGATTGGATCATACTTGATTGTCTTTTTGTAGTTTTTTTTTCTGTACATAATTTTTACTGAAATTGAAAAGAAAGCAAACAGAAAAACCAGAATGGAAACCAGAAAATTGTACTGCATAGGTCTATATGGCTCAGCAACAGAATTGGCAATACATACATGTAACTTCTGTACAGTAGATTTATATGGATTTGAGTCATCTGGCTGATGTTGTAGACTAACTTTTGTAGCCTTGATTCTAAAAAAGAGATAAAACTGATGGCATTGGCCAGGCAAAACATTTAGGCCATTATTGTGTTTCTTAGTGGTATTTCCTATACATATAGCATGCAGCATTGCCTGTAGTGTTACTATAAGTATATACTAATATATACATACCTTCTGCAGGCTGTGCAAAGCAAGTGATCAGTAACATTAATAGGCTGTCATCCCTAGAGGACAAAAGTACAAGACTGAGGGGATTTCTTCAATTATATCGCAGCTTCTCTCAAGCTCACTGATGTAGTGAGTATCAGACCTCTCTGCCCTTTTACTTGCACTTCAAGTCTGTCTCTTGTTTGTAGAATCCTTTCAATCACTTTCTGTATTAATTCTAAATCCTACCCTAATTTATGTTTCTACCCTGTTCATCCAGTCCTGGTTTCCCCCTTTGTTCCACCTTCATTCCTTGCTTCATCCCAGTCTTCATCACAAGCTTTTCATTCCTCTCTGCTCCCTCCCTTCCAGTTACCTTATTTTCTACAAGCACTGGTATCCTCTCCATGAACAACCCCATCTTCCCAAAAGCATTATCTTCTGATAGTCCAGATCAGGTGCTCTCTGCATTTTATTCAGGATCCCAGCTTCTTCATTCTACTCGGTAACAGCAGGGGGAGCATCAAGAAAGGAATACTTGCTAGTGCTTGACCCGTACAATCATTCAAAAATAGTTGCAGTCCTGAGGCTCTGGGCTGGACTAGCAACACGGGAAAATCATCAGCAGAAAATTCTTCATGTTACTCCTAACCAATTCCTGAGTATTTTCATACTCACATTTTTCCAAAATGTCCTTTGCAAAAGATATATCCAGGGCATCAACATGCCCCCATTCTGGTCAAATTTTTGGTCACCAGATGGAATGCCTGAATGTTTCAGACTGCTGCAGGGAAATTATTTCCCTTTTACCTTATCTTTTAAACACAGGCAAATTTATGCCTTTTCCCCGTCTTCCTTCCTTCCAAAAAAGAACTGTTCTTGTCAAAATTTGCCTTTATACAATGACCAGTATTATTTGAAAGCTAACGCAGAAAGACCACACAAAACCCCCCCCCTCAGCCCAAAGTATTATGTCTTGGCAATCAGGCATAGTTGTATCTACTAAGGAACACTGAGTAACTACTTATGCAACACTACACATAGCCGGTAGTATCACTCAGTAACACAAATTAGGCCTAAATGTTTTGCCTTGTCAACACCATCAACTTTTTATTTTTTTAAAATTAAAGCTACAAAAGTCAAGATCTAAACCAGACAAATGACTCAAATAAAATCTTTACATTTTGCCATCATAAAGATTACTGAAGAACAGATAATAATTTCCACTATACAAATAATTTATTTCCTCAACAAATCAATACGTCAATCTTTAACAAATCCTTGAGTGAACTGCATGTTTGACTCAGTGCGACCCACTCTCACTTATCTGTACGCTATTTTAGTTTAATAAAGTAGACGCTTTTCATTCTGTACTTGGAAGGAACTGTAAAGCAGAGCTTTCTTCTTTGTTTTGGTTTTTTTTTAAAGAGAAAAATTAAAAGACAGTGATTTACCACAGTACTAACTGCATCTTCTAGATTACATCATGGTATATTTTCTCAACTATAATCTTGTACAATTTAATTTTGTTTGTGAATTTTAGCTTATAGGAAAAAATCAATTCCATGCTTGTTGGGTGATTTATTTTTTTTTTAATTGAATACTGGTAAGAGTCAGACTCTCATAGGCCCCATGAAGAGGTGTTTGGGTTCTTCTTCCAGTCCTTTACAACAATGAAGGTCATCTACATCCTCCAAAGAGAAGGCTTTCCCAGTCACTAATTTTATCTTCAGAGCCCCAAACGTTTTCAGGGTCAACTAACCATTGCTATAAGCAGTCAAAATGTATAGCAGACAAAAAGAAGTTACTCAAAGTTACACTTTTATACCAATAGTCAACAGGGTACATCTGACATAATTTAACCATCAGACAGATAGTTCATCAACTTGGAGAAGCATGAAGAAATGACTATATGCTCCTTCTTAACATGTCTATCTTGGGGATTAGCAAAAAATACCTAAACAACTTTTTTACTACTTCAAATTGGCATTTCTTGGCCAACACTATGATATGTAAACCTGAAGAGCAGTCTCTAACAAACACCATCTTCACTTTGATTTTTACCAAAAAGTTGCAGAGAAAGTAGTTAAAACTAACAATATACTGGACAACAAGCAGACTAAGGCACACCTCTAATAGAAATTCAGTATTTCCTTTAAATGAAAAAATACTACAGAATAATCCTAAAGCCAGCGTGAGTCTCATAAGTAGACCCCAATGCACTAGATCAAGAAATAAGCATGTGAAATCTGACACAACTCCTTTCTCTATCTTTGTTAGCTGGTGGGAATGCAAACACGCCAAGCAAAGACATACTTTAACCACAATGAGAAGTTATGTATTCTTCAGATACAAATTTGAACGTGCAGGATTAAAATCTAAGTTATTTCTGCTATAAACTGTATTAGACCACATATTCTGAGCACAAAAGTAGTAACGAAAGGTAGAAGAGACACTCTTCAACTAATAAGCCCTAAGATCTTAGGGTTATTAAGGCCCAGTGAGCAAACACTTCAGTTCCTGATTCAAAGATTACAAACGGGCTTCTTGTAATTACACCCTATCAAATTTTAAAGTATCACAAAATTTCTGGCCATATACATGGACATACATGAAACAATCAAAAGCAATAAAGTACAAATTGTCATGTCAATCATTGATTTACTGAAAACTAATACAAGATCACCTTCAAAATACCTTGTACTATGTTTCTGCAACTAATTTCTATTTGGTATTAACCAGGCATTCATGCGATAAGTGATTTAAATGTATTAGTTTTAGATATGACAAATCAGATGTTCAAACGTCCTAAATATTCATAGAATCATTAAGGGTGGAAAAGACCTCAAGGATCATCAAGTCCAACCATCAACCCACACCACCTAACCCACTAAACCATGTCCCTAAGCACCACATCTACACGTTTCTTGAACGCCTCCAGGGATGGTGACTCCACCACTTCCCTGGGCAGCCTGTTCCAATGTCTGATCACTCTTTCAGTGAAGAAATTTTTCCCCATATGTAGCCTAAACCTCCCCTGGCGCAACTTGAGGCTGTTTCCTCTTGTCCTATCACTTGTTACTTTAGAGAAGAGGCCAATGTTCACTACTTAAAAAAACTCCCCTCATTTATATTATGCCTCCTTAAAACCTGAGGCTCTTCAAGCACCTAATTAAAGACTAACATCTCAGTCATTCTAAATACCCTATGGCTGCCCTTCTGCAGTGGTTTAACATTCTTTGCTGAATTACTGTTATAGTATGCATTTTCTCATAATTTTACCTTTTCAGAACTGTAATTACATCTATTACAAAAGTGGCCAGATTCTTTGGAAAAAAATTCCAAACAATCTCAATGAGCTTCGTAAGAAGATAGCAAAGATGTCTTTTATAATTCTTCCCATTATATATAAGCAATGAAGCAAAATAATCACAAAAAACAACTATTAAAGAGATTATCAATGATAAAAGCTGCTTAAACATTTGAGGGTATTTGAAAAATTATTTAGGAATTAAGTAAAATCTGTGAGAAAGAACTTTTAATAAGAACTTGTCAAAAGTTAAAAACACAGACTAGAAAAAAGTTTTTAATTGTACAGTATATTTTAGCTCCTATCAATCACTGCTAAAATAATTTCAAAGTTTAAAAAAGCAGATATTTACCTGATGGAGCAAGACAATCTTTCCAATCAAAATATCCTGCATAAATGCCAGGTTCTAACGACCCAACTATCGGATCTGCCTTAAATTCAATGTACATTTCAAACAGCCTTTGATCCAGCTCTTTCAAGGATTCCATACTAACCTAAAAACCAAAAAAACCAAAACAGAACAACAAAAAAAGAGAGAAAGAACATAATAAATAGTCATTACTTAAAAGAATTAAATCACATACCCAAAAAATATACATCATGTCTTGGTAAAGAGTAGCAATTACTTGCACATTTCAGTTCATAATTACATACATGAAGAACTAGGAACTTCCATATTATCTCTCCATTCTACCCAGTACAATTTTTTTTTTCCTGATTGTGCTCAGCAACAGACATTTTAGGGAAAGGTTTAAGAAACGCCAAAGAAGGCAGATCACTCCACAACTGTCTAATGACATGATTTTTTTTCCCCTGCATGTCAAGAGGTCTTGATCTTGCACCAAATAAACAACTGACTTTTGATAATGCTTTAAAATATGCCTGTAATAATTTCCATCCTGAAACACAAAGATTTTTCTGTAATACTTAAAATACACCAATTGTAATATTACAATTTCTCACTGTCTACTATATACTTGAAAAATACATACATGTATTTAGAAGTCTGTGCCTTCTGAAACTGTACATGCGAACTTCCCCCCCTCTACTTTGAGGCAGCACTGTACAACAGATGCATAAGCTGCAGCTCACAAACATTTGCAGAATTTTTCTCTTTAAAAGCTCTCTATGCAATTTTTAGTAATTCATACAACTTAGCCACACTGAAAGCTAAAGTGATATGCACAATTTTCTCATTGTATGTGAACAACTTTAAATTTTATACAAGACTTTTTCATTAAACGTAAGTATCCCTTGTAATTGTAGCTTCTATAACAACTCTGGAACACAATGTGTATCATAAAATGTTAAAGTAGAAACTCAGTATTTTAGCATTATAATGAATGCCAAATGCTAATAAAATATGCTGAAAATATCATGTGACTTCTGCTTAAATGTATTTATATTTACAAGAGAAGATAGCAAAGTAAAGCTTTTAAACTACTACTCATTTTCCTCAACCACTAGGGAAAAAAGCATACATATATATGATAATTTCCAGAAGCAAAGGGGTTTAAAAGTGATGAAGAAGGCAAAAGGCTAGATCAAACTAGGAATTCCGAAGAAAGAAAGAAAGAAAGAAAGAAAGAAAGAAAGAAAGAAAGAAAGGAAGAAAGAAAGAAAGAAAGAAAGAAAAGTAGAATGCCGACTCCTTACCATTCCTTTGTCTGTGAAAGACAAAAGATTTAATGCTACAAGCTACAGAATAAGGGATGAAGCTTATTCATTGCAGGGATGTCTCTAAACTGGGTTCTCCTCTGGCATGCCTACGTTAAGTGAAGACAAAGGGAACTGCAATATTTGAGTCAGGAAAAAACAGAGAGATAAGCCTTCAGGAATGAGATCATAAGTGCGAGGGAAAACAGAGGTACTATTGAGGTCAAACCTGCTGCCAGATTCAGGGAAGTCGGGATGGTGAAATTGACGTTCAGAAACAAGACACACTACCACTTTCCTGCTTTTCTATCTGATGAACTTCCTTTAATTTGTCACAAGAGGATCAATATCCCAAAGACAGGATTTTCATGAGGCATCATGTGGTCCCCGGAGAAGAACAAGGTTATTTTTTTCTTCTTTCTCTTGTACCCAGCAGCCTGTTGACACTCAAGACTTGAAAAATAACACACTAAAAAATGTACAAAAATCTCACTAACCTCTCTTTCTCCCCTTACCCAGGATCACAGAAATGTAAGCCCAGAATGGGTTTCAAGACATTTTTCACTTCAATTTCTTATGATTAGGGAGAATAACTATCCTCAGACGATTCCTATTTAGGTTTCAAATAGTGGCAAAAATAAAGTACAAGCTCCAGTGGGAAGTCCCTGCAAACATGCCCCCATCCAAAGAACTGCTTCAGTTATCCTTAACAGAACATTTTAGAATTAAGTAATTCTACCTTCTGCTTCTGCAGACATTTAATATAAAAGATCATCTGCACATTCAGTACAGGTCTTTTGTTTCATGCAAGTCCTCTTCAACCTGTTTCAAGTTCAATGCACAATTAAGATAGCGGCGGGTAACCTTGTTTTTCATCTGGTGGAAAGATTAAAAGAAAGAATGACCAATTCATCTGAATGTTACTTTGAGCCCAGGATCGGGGACTGAAGCAGAGTAGAAGTCTTCAACAATGTCCACTGTGGATACCCACCTTCCTGACTCTCAAGTGGGATAAATGCTCACAAAAATATACAATTCTCTCCTTGTTATTTTTCTGCTGTGAACTTCCCTGCAACTAGAATTTTCAATTTTTGTATTAAAGCCATTTTGAGCCTCTATCTTAGTAACTCCTCTGCCTTATCAAGTATCAGAACTGTGGAAACAATTTCATTAAGAAGCTTAATCAACAAGCTAGGATGAATGTTATGGGATACATAAATTTTTTTTCCACTTGATGAAACTGATGATAAAATGTTGAATTAAACTCTCCATAGATGAGCACTTCAGACTTATGTAGAAGCTAAATATAATTATTTGTGAGTAGTATAAGTATGTGCCAAGATGGCACATGCTAAAGCAGAGTGTAAAACACATAACTTCGTTCACACTAAGAAAAAAATGGAAACAACCACCATGTGGAATATAAGGAAATTTTCTTGGTTACCATTTTACAATTTCCGTGTATTCATAAAATTAGAGAATAATGATTTCCCTTCTAATAAAGGCAACTTAAAAAAAACCCCAACCAACGATAGTTTTTACCAATATAAACTGCAAAATTAACTTCAAAATTCCATTTATAAAGCTAACGGAATTTAAAAGTATAGTTTTGTTTCAGTCTTCTCCGATTAAAAAAAATTCTATTTTTCAAAATTTTTGCCAATTCTTTATTGCAATTTTTTTCATCTAATAAATAATTAAATATATTCAGAAAATTAGAGAAATTTAGGTGACAGAACAAAAAATTTTAACAATCAAACAACTCCCCTAAACCTCTGTGGGCTTCTAGCCTCTCTTAAAATTAATAAGGGTTCAAAAATTGCCATCTTAGGATGACTACCTAATTATCCAAATCCTCCCAGCTAGCATTACTGATTGATGCATCCCATATATGCAATACAGCACCAGTCAGCACTTTCAAAGGGTTAACACACATTTGAAATTAATCTGCAACTTCAACATTCAAACTGTGTCATTTATAAACCTACCAGACTGTTAAAGGCAATACTTTGATGCGGCTGTACAAGACTGAGTGTTGAATACATAACAGATGTCTTACTTACTTATATAGACAACACTAACTATACCTAGCTCAACTCTCAGTTGCCTCATCAGCAACGAATGGCAATACCCAGAGTAATTTTGTATACTGTACTAACCATACAAATCATATCAACGCATTTAAATGCTATTCAAAATTATGTCAGCCACAGAGATTCAAACAACATTCAGGCAGAACGGGACTAAGGATGCACTACTATACAGGAGAAAAATCAGTTTGAGTGAAATATTGTACTCTATACTGGAAAAGATAACATTTTACTTCCAACCAACAAGTGTTTCTGGAAATCTAGTAGCTTTATGGTCCTAAGGATTAAGTCACAACATTTCTCATAAAATATGATTAATCTTTACAAAAAGGCAGGAAAATGAGACAGCTACTGCCGCCCACTTTGACATTCTCGTTCTTTGGAAAAAAAAACCCCAAACAAACCAAAAAACAAACCACACAACAAAAAGCCTGAACTAGTTTATGAACAACAGCTATCAGTAATGCAGATTGTCTGATGAAATAATTTATCAAATATATTTCTGAGATAACAATCTTTTATTCTCTGCATTAAGAAAACACAGTGACACTAAACAGCTTTACTAAGAAATCTGATAAGCTTCGCCATTGAACACACAAGTCCTGAAGAAGAGGTCACATTTTCTATACCAGCTATTAAAGCCTTATAGGAACACATACAACCACATCATTGTTGTTGCTGTGTCCAGCTGACGCTTGGAGTCCCACTCTTTTGTAGAAGGCTCAAGAATCCTTTTGGCCATATGAACACATGCATGTAATTTGCATAGAAAGTAAAACAAATAAAACCTGTTACCTTCAAGCAATTATACTTCATTCCAGTGTTCTCACTTACTTGAGTTATTTTTTCAACACCTTGAAAGCCATGTTTCTCAAAATGTTCAGCTATATTTAGGAAGGTATGACGTTCCAGATAACGGCAGTTGCTGAGTGCAATTAAAAGCCTCTGTTCCTAAACATTTTTTTTTTTTTGAGAAAAGAAAGAGTATAATAGTTAGAAAAAAGAAATATCAGCATGACCATTACTGTAAATTTATAGTATTTTAGTAACTCTGTGTGTGATAAACATGCTGACAAATAAAGTGGATTTTAGAAATATTTTTGTCAATAAAACACCAAGAACTGAGTGAATATCAGGTATGATGATTGAACATCTATGTTTTTTCTTATGGGATCTGGAGAATTCACTGGAATATCTGTGACTAATACAGATCTGTGGTTAAGACCTCCTTACAAAAGTTAAGTTTGGACAGGTTTCCAGGAAGCTGTTTCTGGCTTTTACTTTGTTTCAAGAAATATGCTAAGAATTATGACCATCATAAAAACGTAACTGAAGATCATCTTCACTTTCACATGAAGCTGGCTAAAACAAGGGAAGCAAAACAGGCACTGAACAAATGCACTCACCCATTCTAAAATACTAGAAAGTTCAGAAGTACATGATATAATTTCAACAGTTAATTTGAAAAAAAATTCTAAGTGGTTACAACTTATCCATGTTCTTAATTTTTTTTTTTTTAATTACAAGAAGAGCAAATACATTCTGGAGTTGAGATACCAAGATCGCCCTTCCCTGACCTTGGAGCAACAAGGTATAGTTTCCAAAGAGACAAAGAACCAAAGAAGACAGAACTACTATTTCAATAGATTTGGTCTTCTCTCTTCCCCTCTTCTTCCCCCAATGGTAAAACATTTTTCTACCTCAGATGGCAGTTAAAAATCAACAGCAGCAAATATTTTGGAAAAAAAAAACCAAACAAACTGACAATGAAATCATCATAATACTGTGGATCTGATTAAAAATGGTGTTGGTTTTCAGACCTAGTAGATCTCCTGACAGTTTTGTTTTCCAGTAATATGATGAGTAGTGTTGAGATGTGTGGTTGCTTACTACTTTAAATTACAATCAGGGGGTACACAGACTATTAAAAAAAAAAGAGCATTTAAAAAATACAGTGACAAATCTTACTCTGGTCAATCACTTTCTCTGTTCTCATTACTCAATCAGGAAAGAGAACATAGTGTTCTGTGATTTACAGAAAAAAAAAAAAGACAATATTTGGTTTCCATGGTATCAAAAATTGTTGATTTCTTATTTTTTATTTAAACATTCATGCCTACAAGATATGGAAGGAAGTCTGCAACAGCCACAAAAAGTTACTTTGTCAACAATTAATAAAGACATCTATGTATTGCAAGAATAAAATGATATAAAGAACTAAAATTATTATAGTCTGCAATTCAGAAACTTGGACGGATTTGGCAATCCACGATTCTTTATATTGTAACAGGAATATACATTGCTCTTGTAAATGAGGCAAAACTGGGCTTCTGACAACATTCAAAATCCATAGTACAGAATATTAACCTCATAAGAGGTTCTCACTAGGTTTCTTGTAGGAAACAACTACATCTTTTCCATCAGCCACCACACTAGAAGAAAGTACATTAACCAAAGTTGAAGTGTCAAGAATACCAAAAACCTTTTTTCCAATATCTTTTAAAAAAAAGCAAACCCAAACAAGCCACACAAATAATCAATACTTACTCTTAGTAAAATATTATTTTTGTGAAAAACTACATTACCGAATATCTATATCTTCATGAGTTTTAAAAAGTAACTAATAATCAGAGCAGTTCTTATCATTTAAAACAAGGTGAAAAATCAAAAGTCAAATCCTCAGCTGTTTTTACATCAGTGCTATTTTCACTAATTTCAATGATGCCATTTTAGTTTCTGAGGAGGACCTGGTTTCAAAAGACGTCTTCATTAGTTACTTTAAGATACTATACTAAGATATCATAAATAGTGTTTTGTTTGGGTTTTTTTTTTTTAAAAGACCTAAGTCCCATAATTTTGAGAAGTATTAAGTTTCACATCAGCTTTTAGAAACACAAGTCAAACTTACTGAAGAAAGGCTTGAGTCTTCATGAATGCTTCCAAACAAATCTGGAGATGAAACATCAACTGAAAGACTAGGAATATTGTTTAAAAAGTGAGTAGTATAGTGATTTTGATTATCTGATACATGATGGATTCAAATGAACAGTTGGAACAGAAGACTGGAATCTTGTTGCAAGTTTCATCGCACCAGCTAATAAAGCAGCCCATGGAGCTCAGTTTTTCCAAGATGTCCACAAAGCCTGCAAGAGCTTTGTGAACAGACAGTACTATTCTAGCTACAGACCTTTCCTTCTTAAAGTGTTCTCCTTTGCTGTAATTTCTCTGGTTTGCCACAGATTCTGATTTGTTTTACATCTATGCAGCCAACAGAGTCATCCAAATAGCAAAAAAGAAAGTGGCATTAGGAAAACCACTAATTTGCCTTATTCTAATGCATATTGCAGGTACCAATATTTGCCAAATCTCTGGCTTTTCACAAATAAATTATTGGTACTCTTGGAAACTCAGGCTATTCTGACTTGTTTTGATCTCTAAAATAGTTGTCTCACGAGCAATTATGGAACAAACAAACTTTCAAGAATTTAGCAGAAATACCAATAGAACCAGTCAAGATACAAGGGAAGAAAAGAAAGGCAAGTGCTGTTTCTCTATGAGTAGATGTCACTTTGTGACAAGGACAGCTCATTCTATGTAAGATCATGGCTAAACCCAACATATATGCTTCTACAGCACACTACAACTCCTGTCATTGAATACAGTGACACAATACCATATTCATTACCTTGCATGATATTTATTACATTATGTCAGTCAATTGTTTGGCATAAAAAGTATCTACTCTTATTTCAAAACATCACTAGCCAGAGGCAAAAGTATTCAAAGAAATATGAATACCAGAGAGGATAAAACCACACCACCACTGAAATTTGAGACTTGCACCCGCAGTTTCAGAATACTACACCTAGGTCCCATTTATTTTACTTACTGTGATGTATCTATGTCACCATCAGGTTTGGTGCTCAGTTGTTCCAAACAGTCTATAAAGACCTAGGAAACAATAAAGCATGATTGACATTTTATGCCAGAACTAAAAAAAAAAATTCTTAAATTCACTTTTACTACAGTCAATAGAAGCAGACTAATCAACATCACCTTTCTTTGTCTTAAACCTTACATACATTACTACAGTGACATTTTAGTCACACCTTTTGAATGCATATTTTTAATTTTATATGCTTCACTGTTTGTTTGTAGCAAAACACCAGAGTTTTAAATCCTGCTAATTGTCATCATGCATGGCTAAAATTATGCAGTGATAATCTGCTGATTTGCAAAGAAGGCACTGTTAATACTTTTCAGCTGTTCAATCTGAACAGTTGGTCCCAAGCAGCCATCTCAGAAGCATCACTAAAATCCATTTTTTTTGCTTTGTCTCATGATTTCTTATTTGAGAAAATTACAAAAATGGTTCAAAAACCTAAAGCATGCTATTACCTAATTTCAAATATATTTAAAATAAAAAAAAAATATTTTGTTAAAAAGAATATTGGTTTCTGATACTAAAATTAAAAGCTAGATCTTCAGCTGCTGAAAATCAGTGTTGCTCCTTTTATTGTAGTATAATGATGTTAGACGACATCAGCTCAGCAAGCATCTCTCAATCACCAGTAAAATCTTGAACAGTCACAATCAGTAAAATACTTGAATATGTCACCCTTTGAGGATTTGATATGATCAGATTCAGCTAGTAAGCTCTACATACTTTTAAAGTCAAGTATTTCTTAGTATCCCAGAGTGAATTAGAGGACTAACACAGTCATCAACTTAAGCTGACTTTTGGGAGGTGGGCAGGGTACAAAGCACACATTTTTTTTCAATCACTTGTGGTCATGATTTCGTACTTCTAAGTGTTCAAGTTACCTGCATGATCCCAATGCTTAGCTGGCTCACATCCTCCTGTGTTTTCTGCTGCTGGAAAACCTGAAGATGCAAGCATATTATTTCAGCAGAACAGCTTCACGTAGCCTTATTCTCAAGGAAGGCCTGAGTAACCTATCCCTAAATTTATAACACAATTATAGGAAAAGCTCCTGAGACAGTGTTTTCTCATTAATCAATTTCATTTTTTCCCCACCCTAAATACAGGTCCCAATAAAAAATTTGACAAGCATGAGGAGACAACACACTGAAAGGAAAGAAGTCCTGGTACCTAGTACATGCGACACACATCATTGTTGGCTAATGGAGTTGCAGCAAAAACTCCCAGGATATGCAAAGATCTTTGCACCCTAACAAGAAGGATTCTTGCAGATTCTTTTCAATAAAGTTCATTAAGAAACTAGACAAGATAGCCATAAAAATTAAATTCAGGGAGGAGAGGGAAACAATATCCGTACAGAGGAGCCCAAGGGTCTTTGGAAAAGTGTTAAACTTCTCAGATCACTGAAACCTGAATGGAAACAGTATCACTGTCAGTCAGGGCCTCAAGGTACCAAGTGGATAGGGACAATCAGGACTCCTGATTTAGAATAAAGTTTACAGAAGTAAAAAGCTGAATTTAAGTTCTGCAAGTAGTTTGGATGCAACACTGAGTGAAGAGTAACTCCTAAGAAATACGCCCTCCCCCCCTGCCTTTTAACGTAAATAAAGTCACATCTACTGCTATCTGAAAACTACATTACTAGCGTTTTTATTTCAAAATAACAGCTTTAGAGATTTAAGTACAGGTCCAACCTGCCCCTTACTCACACAATTACCCCTAACAACGGAAACACAAACATAATTCTAAAAGCTAGCAGCAGCGAAAAGGGTGTACATGGAAAAAAATAAAGAAGAAAGTTATACCCCTGTATCATTCCCTGAAAGTTATTGTTCTGAAACCCAATAGTAATTTACATAAAAAGAACAAAAATAAAAGCATAAATCAAAACTTACGCTGGCCTCTCCAGGTCTGCAGTCCAGCACAGTTTTAAGAGATTGCAAGGAATGGATAATGCACTGTTCAAACTGGGATGGCTGAAAGGTAAATTATGTGTTAGGTTTAGATAACAATGTCAAATGTATATTACACAAATATATAAAAACTTCCATGGTAAGCTCTTTATTTACAAATTATTACAAGTAAGCAAAAAAAAAAAAAAAAAAAAATCACGAGTCATACATTACCAGAGGACCCTTTTGTACTTATCTACAGAATTATTACCATAGATCAATGTACTTTTTTTTTTAATCTGAATGACAGCCTTCTACAGCAAACAGCCTCCTCTAAAAGGGTCATGAAAGATTTTTATAGCTTGTTTGTGGTAGCATATATGTTAACAGTCACATTACAGATGCTTGTGACACCCTCCCTCCTCCCCCTCTTGATCTAAGTGGGGATGGAATTTCACCTGGGATATCTGATATTTCTACATTTTATTTCAGCAAAAGGTTTCCAAGATAAACGGACTGAAATTGCTTTCACATGGAGGAAAGAATGCACTGGTTTGGGGGGCTTTTTCTACCTTCAGGTTTCCAAACCTGAAGTAAGAAGGTCTTGATGCACGCACCAATTTCACTCTGAAAGTGCAAATGAGTTCACAGCATCAGTCATTAGTCAGTTTTTCCTTATCTTTCTCTCTTCCCTGTCAAGTCACACTTTTTTTTTCTTTTTTTTCTTTTTTTTTTTTTTTTTTTAAATGAGGCTGCCTGCTGGTATTAGGCAAGAAGTTGTTGTACAGGGCAACCTGAAGCAGAGAGGTGTCACTGTCTAGAAAAGAGGGAAATCATCCTATTGGATTTGGATCAAAGAGGTGGACAAAAAGAGCTGCTATGCCATGCAAACCTCCTTTTCATCCAGTAGATAGTTTATGGCATGTCACCAACTTTAGGCTTAGAAGTAACTTTTATTTCTGTAAATGCTGGGGTGGAGGTGGATCATGAGTGTGATGCCTGAAAATCATGAAAAAAGCCACTAAGACAATCTGTATTTATTATTTTTGGACCCACTTAAAAGAAAAAGAAGAGCAGTAAAGAGCTGCTATTGGCTTTTTTTTTGTTTCCATGTAATAAAACTTCACACCTCAGGAGAAGAAAGCTGTTCAGATATGTTATTCTTTGGATATTATGAAACCAAGGAAAGTTGGTTCTCTGTTTTACTGTATCTTTTACCTGGAATACAACTGCCAAAGGGGTTATCAACCAGTACTTCCTGCAAACCTAAAACACAGTTTCTATCTTAAGCCTAAAAGGTCCCCAAAGAGACTACCTGGCCCTTGTTTATACTGATTAATTTTTGCTATATTATCATCAAAATGAACTCTACTTTAGTAGATAAATAACCCCACTATGACAAAACATGGTCAGCTGCCACCATTAGAATTTGGCATGTCTCAACACGACCTCAAAAGGTATCTAGGGAAGTGCTGTATACAAGGAATTCATGGGTGATTTCTAAATACAAAAAAGATCTGAGCAGTTTTTAAACAAAGATGGGTTAGGATACAGCAAAAGCATACAGAAACAAAGCTTTTGTGGAAGATCTTTCCTCCTCCCTCCATTTTACAGATTAATAGAGTGAAAAACAGAAAAGTTAAGGGACTTGCCCAAGTCAGTGGCAACTGAAACCACAACCAGAAGCTGTAAATCTGGCTATAATACAATTGCTCAACAACACTCCTTCCTACAATGTGTATATTGTGATTGCTTAACGCCCTCCTACTCAACTTCAAGAACGTATTTATAGAAGCAAATAAGAAAAACTAAAAAAGTCTGTGGAGCATTCTCTTAGATAATATACACAAAGCAACTCTCCCTCCCACAGGCCCTTTCTGCTTTCGCAGACTGTTTTTAAGTCACACCTACAACGTGCTTGCTGTGTTTTAGGCATTACTCATTACTGTTTATTTCCAGAAAGCATCTCACAAATTTATCTGAATTTGGTTTCAAGTCATTTGTTGTTTGTGTGTAGGCAATCTCCTAAATTAGTTGCTTTTCAGTTCAATTTCTCATTATAACATATAAGTGACCTATTTATTTAGCTACAGACCAATTCCATGGTAGTGTGCCTACTAAGTTATAAAGCATTTTGATGTGAACGGAACTTGTGACTTCAAAAATATTTTTTTACTTTAGAAAACCATCCCTAAAACAAGACGCATAGCTATGAAAGTTATTAAGGTTTATATCAGCAAAATCATGCTAGAGGTCAGCAGTAATTATACTGATACATTTAAATAATACTAATTAAGGTAGAAAGTCATGCTACATATCTTGACGCCCAGTTCTTATTTATTTTTATCTCTCAATACATGGCACAAATCTGCAAAGCTTTTATTTATGCTTTTTTTTTCCTGTTTTGCACCTTCAAAAATATTGTTGTCTAGTAGTACCATTATCAATTAAAGTTACTTCAGATGTAAGAGTTTAAGTGCAAATAAAAATATTGGAAAAGGAGGAAAAGAAAAAAATAATTTTGTGTTTGGTGATGGGATCTGTTACGAGTGATAAACTGTAAATAAGTAACCATGCAAACAAAAACAAATTGTATTTATCTTCCTATATTTTCATACTTTAATAAAACTACAGACACCAGTATGTGCACATATAGACAAAGTTCAAAATAATTCAATTTTCAATAATTCAATGGAAACCAGTCTCACTGCACTTGCAAAAAAAAAAAAAAATCAGCTTACAAGACACAAAAGTATACCCACCAACGATGTCAAACCTTCATTGTCAACAACCCAGTCCTCCTTTTCAGCTAGCCTCTTTACATCTGTAAGACAGAGCAAGAGGGGGAAGGGGCCAGGAGGGAGAAGGTATTCATTTTCATTATTAAAAACTCCTTGAACTTGAAAAGATAAACCACAGACATTGGGACTGCAATGACTAGGCATACAAGCAAATAGCACTAAAAGCTTCAAAGCTTTCAACATTCTCAAATGACTAAGAACGGAACTCATACATGGTATGCTGGTGACACCACACAGCGAAGCATATCTATGATACATGGCAAGAGTTGCATGAAGCACATCTTTTACTGGAAAGCTTAAAATTAAAGGAATATTCTGAAGGCTTTGGGTTTGTTTTTATTTTTTAAGTTTTTAATCACAACATAAAACACTGCATTTAAGAACCCAAGTCTCTACTCTGTTATACTCCAGCTCTTAATTAAAAATGAAAGAACAACTGCCTAGCATTTTAGCAAAGACAGAAAGGACAGCATACAATTAATATTTAATAACTATAAAAGAGGCTCAGAGTCCCCACTCAGGGTCAAAGATCCACAGTGTTAGACTTTCTTCAAAAATACATGAAGGCATATGTAAAAAGCACCCTCTCTTGCTACCCAGAAGGTGCCAACTTCCATAGGCTTATTGAAGCTAACAGGACCTAAGTCAGGATGTGAATCCAAAGCTCATGCACTGTAAACAAAACTCCTCTATGGAATCAAGCATTCTGCCCCATTGCTTTTTTGGGGTGCTTAATTGACTTGTAAACAGAACAAAGCTGAACTGTGTGCAGTTTGCAGGGCTTTGACAGAGTTTTTCACACACAAATTGGTCATCAGAACTGTCTGTAGGTCATGAAACTCCATTTTAAATGAGGAAAAATTTCAGTGAATTAACACCTCTCTGCAGAATCCAAGAAAAAAGGATAAGTAATGCATGCTGAAAAGTATCTTCACTACCTTGGTGCTTTAATTAGCAAAATTAAGAAACTTGGTTATAGTGTCACACACTGCAATTCTACATCTCATGGAAGTATAGGCTTAGTGAGGGTTAAAAGTACTAAGGGATTGTGCAGACTAATTACTCTGTTCATTTCCCTATTTAGTAAACCTCTTAATACAATTGATATTCTTGCGAGGCTTTAGATTGCACTGGTCAGGCTTTAGATGTTTTTGGGGATGCTCACTTTTTCATTCTGATCTGAGCTAATACAAACACAAAAGAAACAAATTTCTTTCTCGTATTTCACTGCTCACCAAATTCCAGTCAAATACATTCATGTAAAGCCCCAGTCTAGTCTGGCATTCACACGATTTGGCTATCATGACCTTTATGACCAGTGATCACATACGAGAGGGAAAGAACACAGACTGCTTCTCACGGCTAGCACAAGCATACAGCATTTATCATAAGACATCAAGAAAACCCTGTGCGTGGGCAGATTCATCCTATTTATATAGCTAATGGTAGAGTGCTCTATTATAAATTTTAACCGATCCGAATGCCTTTATCAACTTACAACATGCAGCAAGAGATGAGAATGAACTTTATATCAGCAGTCTACACAGCTCATACTTCAGAGAGATTACAGAGGTGAGATTCAAGTCCAGGAGGAGCCTTTTTGACACATATATTACAAATATAACTACATCTGATATCCATTTACATAGCTCCATGAGAATATCCGTTAACCACTCTTTCACTGGTTCCCTAAAATTAAGTTTCTTCAAGGGCCAAATTTACCTGGTCCTGTCTAACCTAAATGCATTCAACATATGTCATTTTGCTTTAGCTGGCAAAGAACAAAAAAAGGGTCCCATACATAAGGCACTCAGTGCAACAATATGGAATGAGAGTCATCACACTGGCAGGCATCTCTTCTCCCGTCTGATGCTACAGTCCATACAGGGAACTGCTTAACTGGTAGGGGATGGAAGCAGCAGTCAAGGAAGGCTGCTGTTGTTGGCTAGACGAAAAAGAGATGCATTATCCGGCCAGTGTAACATCCTGGCATCTTAAGGGATCTGATCTCTTTTGATTCAAGAAAGAGAAGTATGAATAAAGATGTTCAGACCAAACAGAGAATCATTGTCACGTAGACTGGTAAATCCGCTTTTATAAAAACACAAGGTACAGACTACCCACAAGAGTTTTTCCTCCACAGAATGTACGCGGCCAGCAATCAGGACATAAGAAGCAGAAACTCTGGATCTGAACAAAGAACTGGGCTACTGTTATGATGCAACAAGTAGGCAAAACCAGGAAGACTGCAGACCCTTTGGCCGAGAGCTTCATGTATCAGAGCTCTCTGGACCACACTAGAGAAGCCAGGTGGCTAGGTGAGAGATTTGATAAGGAAGGGTTGTCAGCAAAACAGTTTGGAGCTAGATACTTCTTTCCTTTCAAGCAGTCAGGACATCTTAGGAATCACCCACAATTCCTAGACAAAGGGCAGTCAGTCCAATAGGACCATCCTCATGTCACAATTTGAAAAAAAGAAAAAAAATCTAAGTGAAGAAAAGCAAAAGAGACTTCCTCATACTTTAAATGAAGTCTGAAATAGTGGTAATACTTTCCATATAGAGTTTTAAAGAGACAAGACAACCTATATACTAGCATGGCCATCTCACTTGATATTCATGCAGAAAAGTAATGTTAACACTGAAAAGGAATTTAATAAAAGAATTAGGAGCCAAGAACACAATTCATATCAACATTGTACCAAATAAACAATAGAGGCCTTACGATTTGTTGTCATGAAAAGTTAAAAAATTTGCTTAATATAGCCACCTGCACTTAGCACACTTAGGGCTTGAGTAAAACACTTAGCTTCATGTCGGTCTACAAAACAATGACAAATCATATGTTAAAGATTAAAAACTGATTAAATTTAAAGATCAAAAAGGCCTTATTTTTTTAACATTGAAGGTAATTAGTCTTTTGGGAAAAAAACCCTGCTAAGTGAATAAGTAGATCCATCTGCCGTGATTTTAAGAAACACATTTATTTCTGGAAGATTTACTTCATTTGCATGTAAGTTTCAGAGTTGAATACAAGATGGTAATGTGAATGGCTTCTGACGCACACAGAGTCATATTAGATTTATAGAATTTGTTACTGGCCCTGACAAAACTGGCCTTTATGGCAAGATCTGTGTACACACCAGGAAGCCTAGGGATTATAACATTAGTAAAAGGTCTTGGAAAACACACAAATAAAACATTTCCTGAAGGGCTATGGATTTTTTTTTTCTCTTGGGGGTGGGACATTGCTTATTTAATTATGCCCTTTATAGAAGAACTCAGAAAAGAAACTAAATTATATTTCCAATATGGAAAAGCTGCATCATGAGATAAATTGCTTGCATCGTAAAACTGTCTCAACCCAAAGGAAACAGATCTAAACTACTTCATTTGTTAGACTAAGGGAAGAAAAGACTCATAACACACATTTCTGTCAGAAAAGTGAAATACTTGAGAAACTCTTGTGAGATATTACAGAACTCAGAGGAGTCCACCGCCACTACAAAACCTGTAACAAACATGGTTAATCTTCCAGAATGGGGTTTGGCCTAATCAAAGGCAAAAAAACATGATAGTAAGCAAAGAGGCCTGCAGCCTTCTATTACCTTCAGCTGTGTGTTGTAAGGTCACTATGATGCAACGTACACGAAGGTCCAAAATAAGATCCTGGATGATTTGAAGCATATCATTGGGTATCTCCAGTGCAGTAAGAGACTCAGAACTAAGCCTGGAAAGCAAATGAAGTTAGACTGAAGTGTAAATCTGCAGGGTTTTTAAAGCTTATATAACTTCACTGAATTTTTTAGACATCATCTGTGTATGTGAATACAGTAGCTCCATCCTCAGTGTATCTTTGAAAACTGATTATCCCATGCAGAGAAGATGAATTATTTGCTTAACTCAGAAGCTTGCAAACACAGATTTTTCTGTAACATTACAATAATGTAATCACAGCAACATGCCAACTTCCCATTGTCCTCTTCAACTCCCCTGCCTGCCTTTTCTGCATCCTTCTCTTCTCTTACGATCCAAGAATAATCCTTCTGGAGCTTTTTTTGCTGTTTTTATGTGAATGCCTAGATCACATCCTAAGTCCACAACCGGGTTTCTGAGATATTGTTCACTCACATTACAACAGTAACAGCCATCAAGCTGCCATAAATGGTGATGTGGCTGTGCATCAGATTGCCAAGAGTATACACATTAAGGAGCCAAAAATACTACCAGGTGAGCTACTGCATCACCTCCATCACTACCTTGCTAAGGGAGCACTCAGCTGTCACACCCCTGAGATCATCTTTTTCCTCATACAACTCACCCTAACAAACACATACCTTTCTATCCTTAAAATAAGGCAAAAGTCTTGCCGACAAGGGCATCACTTTATCGCGTAGCTCTAATTTACCCTCTGGAACCTATTCATACTGGGCAATGACAGAATGGGGTACAAAAGAAAGACTGTACAACCACTCCACTTTAAGCTGTGTGATACATATAAAAAAGCAGAAAAATTAAGATCACACAGCTATAATGCCAACTCCTTGTTTTCTAATTATTTTAGTTTTAGCATTCATAAATACAAGTAGGGAATGGTAAATCATTAGTGAGATGATTGAAAAGAGTAAAGTTTATCATGTGCTTCATAATTATTTTTTTTTAGAAACAATAAAAACAGGACTTAAGCATTGCATAACTTTGCAACAAAGAAGGTTTTTATGCAATGTGTAGACTCTTCATGAGAAGAGTCCACCTTCATCATTGGTGTGAGTCACAAGAATTTATTAGATTGTCAAAGTGTGGGGGCTTGAAAAGAAATGTACTTGCAGCACTTGCAAAAACTTCATCATCCCTGGTCAGTACCCTATCATGTATGTATGTTCAGTTTCTCTTCTCCAGATTACCCTTTTCTTCTCTACTTTTGACTGCTTTGCATTAAAGTCTAACCCACTTTAGTAAAGTTCCAGCACAGCCATCAGCAAGAACATGAGATGAGGAAAAGAGCAGGAGGGAGAGAGAATTTCCCCAACTCTCAGTTCAGTTGTTCAGGAAGCAAGAAGAGATTATCTGAAAAAGAGTCTGCATATTATCCTACAACCTCAGCCTGGATCACACCTCGGATGGAAGGACTTTGAAGCACAACCACCTTTTAGAGAATCTGTTGTTTAAATTTCCAAGGCAACATTACAGATGTGCAAGTGTTAAATACTAGAATTTTATAATTCGAGTGAAAATGGATTGTTTCTCATAAAAGGGCAACACTGGTGCCAAAGCCTGTTACCTTGCCCCTTTACATCTTTTCATGAAATGCCAAGTCAATTCCTTCTGAAATTGAAAGCTTTCCATAAAATTCAGCCAGAATAAGAAACTTCACATGGATTTTTTTTTTTTCTTTTTCTGACTGGTTAAAGTACAGATAATGTCACTGACAACAGACTTTGGGCAAGTGTTAAGCAGATTTGACAAGACGTATGTATCACTGCTAGCTCCATCCACAAGAAGAATACCTATGTGATTATACCCTTTTCTTTTTTCCTCTGTGCTTTGCTTGTTACCTACTTTGAAAACTGCAGATAAAAAGTACAGAATCATATCCAAGTATTACTCAAGTTTCCAAAAGACAATGACAATTCTTACATCCTCCACAAACAAAAGGAAGTGAATTCTGTATATTAATTAGACATTTTGTAATTAATGGAGCCCACTTTACTAAATTTATAAACAAACATAGGCAGAATGGCATTATAAGCAGGAGTATCAACTTCCACAAAACAACTGTAAAAGTTATGATTTAAGAAGTATACTATAGAGAGAAGCATGCTACTTTCATCCATTTTGGAAGAGATGGGAAGATGTGTAGCAAATGAAGCAGATAATTGCTTTCTACCCTAAAGAATCAAATCCTGTTTCATGCACGGAGTGCCTATGCTGTGTCAGGGAAATATTTTATTCAGACCTTTGCATAAGATGCTATGTAATAAAAATAATATATCATTCTGTAATAAGGCTGTATCATGAGACATTATTATTTACACTTGCACATAGAATCCTAAATCTGCCATAAGTAACTTTTTTGTAATCCTATTTTTGAAAACGTTAACATTCCCACTATGCCAGATATTTAATGTAATAAACAAAACAATTCATCTTAAGGCACACATATCCTAGGAACAGCATCATTTTTCAGGTCCACAGATCCATTTACCTTACAGTCTGGATAACATGTGTTAGCCACTGGCCAGAAAGTTCGGATTTCATCTCCCAGCCACCATACTGTCTTGATTCTCCTTCTCTGAGGCTGAATGGGAGCAATGCTCCACGGATAAGTTTTACCAGAGAGTGCATCACTTCCTGAATCATTTTCTGCATCAGAAGAAGGGAAAGAAAAATCAAGCAAAAAGCTTTATCAACATGCTTAAGCCATGTACTTGCTACACACAACAGCTTGGAATGCATGATTTACAGGTGGCTCCACATGGTAGACAGTAGAGAAGAATAAGACATATGGGCACATGGATGATTTAAGAAATCTAATTTTCAAGGTGGTGACACTTAAGTAGCTGGCTATGAAGGACAACTGAAAGAAAGCAAGCTTTCCCCCCATAACTTACCTTGAAATCATTTTGTCTTTGCCTAGCATTTTTCTTTGATCTTTCCATTTGGCCAGATTTTTCAGCAGTCTTGTGAAAATAAGAAAATTGAAAAGTGTAAGTAACTTATAACCACTGCTAAAATAATTCTGAAAAAGGGGGTTTCAAAGTGAAGAAGTGACAACTGGTGAGTTTATGATGCAATTATCAAAACTAACTCATGGCATCCCAATAAGCAAAGACTATATAATCAATAAACTCTACTAACTGTAGGTCAGTGTGTTAATATTTAATTCTGAGGAATAATGTGTATTTAAGACAAAGTCAGAGACAAGCATAAGACTAGCTCAAGATACAAACTTCAGGAGGTCAAGGTTTTCTCCCTGCAACGTTAGTGAGAGCTAAAGCATATGTAGTCCAAATGTGCATCAAGTTTATACAAAGAAACTCCACTTTTTCAGCAGCCCAGAGGAGGACATTGAAGTGAAGTGGGAGACACTTCTTGGAATTAGGGCAATTTGGAATTCTAATGTGAGGGGAGGGTTGAGAGTTTTTTATTTGGTTTTAGGAACAGCATTTTGTTGACAATGCTCTTTAAATAGTTCAACTAATGGTGAAAGAGATTCTGCAAAATAATCAGCATCTTCATGGACAGTTCACTTCTTTGAAAACTGAGGAACATGAGTACACTTTGCATGAGACAGTTACAGTTGAAGAAAAACATGGTTTGACTAATAGCCTTCCTGTTTGTAATTCTAGCCTTTTGTGGAGTCTACTGAGAACACAAAAGAGTAAATTATACTAAAAAAGTTATTTCAAATACTGGGTTAAGTGCAGATGTAGAACTTTACCGTTAGAAAATCTCCTATTTTATGTATGTACAGCAACATCTACTGGACAAGAAGTGCAGTAACATGGCAAGCGTTCTCAAAAAGAATCAGTTTACTTTCAAGTCATTAATTTGAAATTATGTATTTTTCAAAATCCCTCTCTAGCTAAAGCATTTCATATTTTTAAGTTAAAATAAATAATTTGAAGTGAGCTAAAATTATAGGAAAATAAAACTGTTTGACAGTTTTGGAAAATACATAGCTATGAAACTCCTGTACTTCAAAGCTCTGAATTATACAGTTTCAGACAAGGAGAACAACACTCGAGTTATTCCCGCATATAACACCCACTTCTCTCTTCTGATGCATTTAAACCTCAGGCAGCAACTTAAAATTCACACTGCCTTACAGCTGGATTAAAGAATAAAAAAATTCACAGACCTTTGATTTTCTTCTGATGCATTTAAACCTCAGGCAGCAACTTAAAATTCACACTGCCTTACAGCTGGATTAAAGAAAAAAATTCACAGATCTTTGATTTTTTTTTTTTTTTGTCTTAGTGGTTTTGCTGAAGACCAATTTTAAACCCTTCCTGCACAGACAGACCAAAACTATCTTGTGGTAAGACCAACGGTTACTACTCATATATGTGACCTCACCTAGAGTGATTCAAAGAACTCAACTTTTTAAACTGTTGAAAACACCACGTAAATCTTTAACTGACAATATTTTAAGGTATATAGCTAACCTTTCAGAATGAAAAAGAACGCCCCCCTCCCCCCCATAACCCCCAAAAACCTAAGAATGAAAAAGAACGCCCCCCTCCCCCCCCATAACCCCCAAAAACCTATGAACTGAAGAAAATACAGCTTGAAGTTAATATGTGGGGATTTTCTTAAAATGTCCTGAAGACTTGAATAAGCTAACTGAAATGACCCTCTATGTAATTTTCACAGGTCTTTTCTTAAACACCTTGCTTCCTGAATGACAATAAATAGCAAGCAACATGGTAAAAGAAATTTCTTCGCAGACAACTAAAATCCATATGATTTCTGGTAGAAACACATATAAACCTTGAGTCTTGAACGTGATGTGGTAACAGATGTTATTAGGTACGCTAGATAAAGTCTTCTAGCTCATGCCACCCCCTCCTCCCAGTTGTCCTGGGTTGACTGTGGCATGCAGAACACACAAAAGGAACTGATGGTACCATCCCTCCTCTCTCCTCAAGAACTTGGGAGGCTTTGGTAAGGAGCAGAGGAAATCAAATGTATAGGGATTAATTTCTCATGAGCTCAGTATCTCTCCCAACAGAAGAAGAGTAGATGTACCTTAAAGACTAACAGGAAAAGTACCTCCTCTATTTTGTGTGTGTGTGTGTGTTTCTTAAAATACATTGAAACATTGTTTTGTTCAGACATGACATAAGATCACTGCATTTTCCACTTGCAGGCATTTTCATGAGCAAAATTTCTCAACCTTGTTTACAGTTCAAGTCTCAGTTTCTCTAGAAATTACTTTCTTTTTTTTTTTTTTGTACTCAGAGGGGAAAAAAAAATCACAACAACTTAACAGGTGAATTTGTAAAGTCTTGATTTCCAATGGCAGTGTTGTCAAATATAAGGGTTGTCACCTCCCTTATGAAATAATTATTTTTGTGAAAGTCAACAGTACTAGGGTTTACTCTTGATTCTACTTCCTTCACTGAACACTACAAGTAAATGTTATACCTTTCTTTTGATTTTTATCATGTAAAAATTAAGATAACAAATAGAATCTATTTCACTGGAGCTATAATGGTCTGTATATTGTGTTCAACACATGAAGAGCTATAGTACCTATTAGCACCATCACATGAAAATGTTATATTGATTTACAGACAGTGGCAAAATATAGAACGACTGTTTGAGAAATTCTTTAGTTAGTCAGAGAAAAGGAAAATGACAAAATAAGTTTCCAAATTTCCTTTTCCCAAGGTTTTTGTTTTCTTTTCCACTTAAGCTGCAAAGAAGAGGTACCTATAGCTGCAGATCTGCTTTGAGGATAATTTTGTCGTGGAATACTGTAGCTGTGATGATTTAAGGATTTAACCACTCCACGTCACTAAGTATGGCAGGATAAAAACAATCTCAACAAATGAAATTATATAGCAACAGTTAAACAGAGAAGTTTTAGATGTATAAACTTTTACGTTTGAGATAGAAGCTTATCTGAATAATATGCATGTCCAAAAGCTTGCTTATTTTCCACCTGCTCTGTATTATCCCAACTATCTCTACATCTCTTTACAGACCTTGTCTTCAGAATTTTTTAAGACCCAGAATGAGTGAGTCCAAACTGCAGTCAGAAGAACTTCCCAGTTATAGCTCTGCAGATGAGGTGTGAACCTTATCTGTTGATGGAACTGATAGCTGCCTTTCACTACACTTCAATTATATGTTTGTCTTAGTCAGACTTGCTCCTTGGGAATATGCCATCATGCTGTGGTTTCAACCCACTTGGCTAGCAGCAAAGAACCACACAGCCCCTCATTCACCCTCTCCCCTCCTGGGGATGGGGGAGAGAATTAAAAGGGTAAGGGGAAAAGAGATTTGTGGGTCGGGATGAGAACAATTTAATAACTAAACTACAATAAAATTGAAAATAACAATTACAATAATACTCAAATAATAATGGTAAAATACACAAATATACAAATAAGTGAAACACAGTAAACTGCTCACCACCTGATGACCAAGGCTCAGCCCATTCCCAGCTAATGACCACGGTCCCAAAACCACAATCCCGGAAAAGAGATAAGAGCCTGAGAGCCAACCAAGGAGGGGAGAAGCAACGCAGAGAGAGGGGCAACCCAGAGAGACCGAACTTCTGGTTATATCCTCATCTACATACTGGGCATACCATGCATGATATGGAATATGTCATTGGCCAATTTGGGTCTCAGTCCTAAACCTAAGGTCAAATCCCAGGCTAGTAACTGGGGCTGTGCTCCCTCCCAGCTTCTCCTGCACCTGCAGACACTGGCACAGCAGAGAAGCTGAAAAGTCCTTGACTGTCCTGGCAGCATCTATAAACATCAGTGTGTTATCAGCCTTCTCCTCAGCACAAATCCAAAACACAGCCTCACACTAGCTACTGTGAAGAAAGTTAAGTCTGTTCCAGACGAAACCAGGACACATCACTACAGTTCTCATTCTAGAGAAAAAAACAACATGGCTTGAGGAGCAGAAGTGAACTTTCTGTAAAACATAATGTAATTCTGTGACCAAATTTTAGCAACAATGCAAACTTCAAAGTTATTGTATTTATATGGTAACAATTATGATGGTAAGCTGTATACTACCCATATCAAATAAATTACAAAATGTATCCTTTCAAAACCTGTTAATAGTGTGCACATAAAAATAGCATGTCATGAATCATTATCTTTTTTCCCCCCCTGCTCCTTGGATTATCAAGATTATATTTACACAATTTGTAAAAGCCAGATGATCTGAGCAAGGAGGACTAGAAGCATATGTGTTCGCAGCTGACTGCACTTCCAGACAACACTCTCTATAGTATGTCTGTGTATACCACCTTGGGCCTTGGTCATTTTGCAACTATGGTCTTGAATCTATCCTCACTTCCAAAGACTTAGAGCTCAAGAAATGAGTACTCTTGTTCCAAAGAAACAAAATGTTTTTGTTTTGTTTTGGTTTTTTTTCTGTATGACTTTGTCTTTTACATATCTCTATCCTTCATGAAATCTGCTGTTTCCTCAGATCACCAATGACGGGTAGCTGGCCAGCTATGAGAAAGAGGTGAAACTACGCAGATATTGACTCCAGCATCTGGAACAGACACAGACACACCACTGGCAGAATTCTAGATAATTCCACTGTATGCTTTTATTCTCTTAAAAATAAAAATTTCACTTCTATAGGTTAGTATTGCAAGACACCTTCCTAATCAAGGTAGCATCTCTCAAATGTGTAAGAGTCTACATATTGTTTTATAAATCTCTCTGATTAAAATAAGTCCAGTCATTTCTTCCAGTGAAAAACAATACTTCAAACATAATTGTTACAGAGCTTTGCTACTTAAAAGTCATTTATATAGAAAAATGCATACCTCACTGAATAAACTTCCATTCACATAAGAAATCCAGAGCTTCCAGAAGTTGGGCAGCTGACTTACAACAAGCTTTGTCAACTTTTCAACAAATACAACTTGCTGAGGAGCTTTGTATCGCCAAGCTAAAAGGGGGAAAGTGGATGGAAAAAGCAAAATTAAAAAACTTTGAATTAATAATAAAAAATGCACTACTAGCTCACTGCTGCTTTGTATCACACAAGTGACTATACAGTACCTATAAAACTTTTCAGGTAGTAATGAAAAAGTTAAAGCTGACAGTCCATATATCTGTACACAATGGGTACACATATGAGCTCTTTCTTCTCTTCTCATATGCTTACAAGGCAGCAGCACTATGACTATGTATACAGAATAGGCCCTCTTTGTAGGGGCATCTAATGCAATCCACCTAACAATCCATTCAGATGGTCTCCTGTCTTCAAACTCCTCTAAAAAGGTAAGATAATGTGAAAGCAATCAAGACATTAGGAGTTTCAAATGATGAGGTGGTGATGCTAAAAAAACAGGGCTGCTAGGATGACCTAATGATTAAGGCAAACGATGGAAGCTGGAAGAGCTGCTTTACTCCTAGCTCAAAAAATTTTTCATTGTGGCCTGGGGCAAGTTGCCAACGTCTCATCTTCATTTTAATTTGTTTGGCAAAATCTTTTATCTGAAAAACAGAGTAGATTCCAACATCATTGTTAAAACTCAATAAACATATCACTAATTATATAGTGAGATTCCTCGATGAAGAACACAATCATAACACACATCACTGCGGCATCTCTCACTTCATGAACCTACTTACATTCCTGGTACACTGGCTATTAAAACACTTCAGGAAAATAGCTTACATTTTGGAAGCAGGTAACTTTTCTCAGTTTTGTATCAAATAGGCCAAAAGGAGGTGGGGGGAGGTAAAGAGAATGCTGAAAAGGGGCAGAAGAAAACTACTAATTAACAAAAAAATAAAGAAAACTTTGTGAAATACTTTTCTATAATCATTTCTCCATTGAAACTTTCTTGATTATGATGTTTTAGCAAAACAGGGTATTGCTATAACAGTGATAAGAGACCTATATTTCACCTCAAGAATTAAAGGCCACTTTAGAACACTTGTAAAAAGAACTCCCCGATTTCTGGAAAAGAAAACACAAAACAAACAACCAAATACCACAAAACAAAACAAAAGCACTTAAAGAGGTCCACATTTGTTGGTGTGGGGTTTTTTTTTTTTTGTGTATAAACTCTGGTCTTTTATAAGTGATAAAGTAAAAAATATTATATTACCATAGATAACTCTGTGGAAATGCAGAAAAATGTTGGGTGAAATAGCACTTTTTGTATTTACTCTGTCAGAGAATATTGCCTACACAGAACAGGAATTCAACAGTTAGGCAAAAATAGCTGCCTAATAGTACATTCAGTAACTAGTAGGCTTCACCAGAGCCTCACTATTCCATTGTGTTGGTAGCCAGTATTAAATGCCCTTGAAGTACAGCATGCCTTCAGCAGCATCCGTTTTTCGAGGTGTGGGTCAACTATTGGTTCATTTCTTTAGTGGATGAATAAACATCTTCATTACCCAAAATGTTCTTGTTCCTCATGGCCAAAAAGTTCAAGGACTTTGGATCAGTATTTGAAAATCCAAAAAATCACAATAGAAGCCCAAAATTTGGAGAGAGACTCTGATATAACTGAAGTGTAACTCTGCTAATAATGATGCATCTGTTTAGGAAGCATGGAAACTTCAAAGCTCAACTAGCAAAACTCAGTGTGAACACAGATAGGATGTCAGAGCACTACTTTTGCCAACTCAATTTGTGACTGTCAGAGAACTGGTCTAGACCCAGAAGCAGAAAAACTCCTCTTATTAACATAAGCTGCGACTACGCCAGGAAGCTGTCCCAACACTGCTATAGCAACAGAGGATCTGTAATGCCAACAAATCCCAAGCTCTAACCAAAAGAATTCAGCTCCTTCAAGAAATTGTTTAATCTTTGCCAAAAGCTCCAGCACCAACACAAGGTTACCACCAGGGATGTCTGTTCCTAACTGGAAACACACTGTCAAGATTTACTTCATGAATGAAAATCTTTTCCCTTCCAGGATGCATACTTAGGCATATTTGAGAGATTGCCTTAGTCTCTAGTCTGCAGACAGCAGATATTTATTAGAATAAGCTACTGCACATTATGTCAAAAGGACATTCTGCCCATAAATTCAGGATACTTTGGCTTTGTTGCTAGAGAAAGCTCCAATCTACATTAAAGGAGAAAATTTCTTTCCTTCTACTTATTCTGTTATAATCTGTGCTATAACATCCTAAAGATGAAACTAGAGCTATTGTTTAGATATCCTTGTGAACATGAACATACGCTCAAGTAAGAGCTGAATGTTATTTGAACGCTTTAGTTTTGAATTCAAAGTAATTTGTTCAAACAATCTCATGGACAATCACTGTCAATCACATTGGGGGGAAAAAAAAAAAGCACACAAAAACAACCCAGAAATGCCATTCCTCAAATTTGCTAAAAAACAAAAGGAACACAAGCAACCCAAAAAACCAGAGTGTATCACGGCATATTTGGCGTGGCAGCTCCTGCACGGGTCTCATAAGTGGTTGGTTTGCTTTGGCTCTCCACTCAGAGAAAAGCAGGGATGGTAGAGTTTTCAGCTGTTACTAAGCATGTAGTGGGCACATACACCTAAGTACCACTGAACTCAACTCAGAGGCAACTCATTCTAACTCTAGGGTCTTTGCAGTGGATTACTGTGATGCTCCAACCAATGTTCCCATTTTCCTTTGAATCCTGGTTGAAACTGGTGACTACAGAATCTGCAAAGCTTGCTGAAGTCTTCTCTTTTCCAGTTTGTAAAAGGTTATGGATACATAACTTAAACTCTAAAAGTAAAGATAACCTACTGAATTTGAATTGCCTTCCATAGATGCAACTATATAAGCAGAGAGACATGCAAAAGAATTCAAACAAGGAAAAAATAAACTGGATTTCAGATGTTGCTTGCTACATCGTGTGGTATGTGTATTGTTAGTGGATGGTATCCAACAACAACCAGCAATTTGCTGTTTTAGTACTCTGTAACACTTGTTAATCAACGTCATGCAAGGCTTTGGGCTGAGAAAGGACAAGGGTAACAGTAATACAGTAATGTAATTATTTAGTACACATGTACATTTTGAAGAGCCTGTGTAATTTACATTTTGAAATACAAACATTCAACCTCAAACTGTGATGCAATTCAATCATCTTGCATGTGAAAATACACTGTGGCAGCACAAGAATGTACAATTCTCATTATTTTTCATTTTATTTTCTTGAAAGATTCCCTTCATTCCTCTTTCTGCTCAAAAAAAATCAGATACTTACTGATGTTTTTTCAAGGAAGTCGAAAGAATTGAGAGAAGAGCAACACCAAAGTAGACCAAAGCCAGAAAGTTCTTACTTAAAACCTGCATTATGCAAAAAAGTACTTTGGTAAGAAATAAACTATCCTGTGAAAAACATGTTTCCTCGAAAGAATTGAGAGAAGAGCAACACCAAAGTAGACCAAAGCCAGAAAGTTCTTACTTAAAACCTGCATTATGCAAAAAAGTTTCACTATCCTGTGAAAAACATGTTATGTTTCCTGTGATGTCACCATTGAAAGACTCCTGAGATTAAGCTGTTTGGACAAGGGTGCTGAAGTCACTTATGATGCACAAGGGCTCAGATGGTTGTGGACACACTGCTCGAGCTTAGTCACACACTTTTCCCCTTTCTGGGTTTACAGAATTAGAGAACAAGGACCAAATGTGCAAAGTCACAGAAGGAGCAAATGCAAGTATAGCTATCTTAGCAAACACATGCAAAACGTATAATAGCAGAAGGTGATAGGCAGTAGGTATATTCTGGTTTTGTAGAAAAAAAAAAGACTTATTACTTTGACTACATTTTAAGAAGCAGATTTCAGCTACTAACTGTTCTTTGCTTGCAAAAAACACAGAGGACACCTTTAGTAAGCAATGGTAAAGCATGAGAAGAAATAATTTTATTTGGTAACAAACCAAAACAAACACACAGGATCTGAGTTTCTGTTTGGGTTTTTTTGACTACACCACATATTGGACATTTGTTTTTCCAAATAAAACAGATGCCTACCATCATCACGGCCAGACTGAAAGCTGCTACCCCTTTTCAGTGAAGCAGTTTGACTGAGATGGCCGACTGGTGATGGACGCACATCATTGTCCAGGTCTAACATGGGGCTGTGGAGCAATGAGTTGCCTGGGGAGAGGAGGGAAAAAAAGTTAAAATTATTTTGCACATAAATTTACATGGAACTGTATGCTGGGTGTGGATTTGTAATTTAATTCAGAAGTTACACAAGACAAAAGTTATCTAGCAAAAACATTCTTAATCTTGCTCATCTACATCAGTGCTATTCAATAACACCACTAATGACTCCTGTAGCAAAGCTAAAGCCAGAAGTACTCTGTGGGAAATATCATTCTTTGATCTGTATGTTTCTCTGTTTTTGCTTTAATTAACGCCCTACAATTAGTTGCTTGAAAACCATGGATAAACATATATTTACACCATCAATGACATGGCACATACTTTTTTTCTGATGTATGTCTAAATACACTTTTCAACGGCAAAAGTTTCTTGTGCCTCCAGCTGAAGCAGTTAAGGGCAGAGTGTTCAACTACTTCTTAGCTGTTTGACACCTACAGAATTCAGGTAGAAAGAATCCATCCATCATGAAACAGACGAACTAAAGGCACTTGTGCATGTCTGTAAAACACCCTGTACTTAGACACCTCTACAAACACACAAAATACTTCCCAGTGAATCAAATAATTATTTTTTTCTTTGGATGCTTGTCCATATATAGGTCTCTATTTGTACATCCTAAGCAATGATCTAATCTGATGGAGGTAGATACCTGGAGTCTAATGTATGTTTTGGAAAACAATCATATAACAATGAGCAGACCATGATGATTTTTTTAAATGTACTCTAACACTTCCAATACTTAAATCTATGTTGCTGCTTTATGCATTTCACCTTACAGATACATTTCTGAAAGTAACCATCAAAAATAATTTCAGCATTAGCCAACTGAGCTGTAACAAGTAAACTTAAATTAATCACAGTTCACAGAAGTATAGAACAGCCCAGGTTGGAAGGGACCTAGAAAAAACATCTGGTCCAACCTTTCATGGGCAAGGGAGCATAGGTGAGATTATCCAGCACCCTGTCCAGCTGCATCTTGAAAACCTCCAGCGATGGAGACTTGACCACATCCCTGGGGAGGTTGTTCCAGCGATTGGTTGTTCTCACAGTAAACAATTTCTCTTATATCGAGATGAAACCTCTCCTGGTAATTCATGCTGAATTTTGTAGTGAGAATCTCAGCATTTCAGTTTAAATTGCTTGATCTTTTCCATCAATACCTACATTCACTTAAAATAACAGGAAGGCCACACAGTAAGAGCACCAGCTGTAACACCACAATACTCAGATTCAAGACTAACACGAAGTAAAAGAGATCTGAAGAATATTTATTCTGAATTTATGCTGCTATCAGATCAGTGTGTCAGGAAAGATACACCCAGTCACTTTACTTCAACAGCTGGGGCTTAAAGAGCAACATTATGCATTGTGAAACTGACTGCAAACTTCCAATAGGTGACAGCATTGGGTTTTAGTTCCTTTTGAAAGAAGCTCTTCTTTCCATAATTCTTTAGTGGCTCTTATGGAGGTTTCCTGTGGCCTTTCACTGTAGCATTGTCATTACTGAGCTAACTGTTGGTTCCTCCATTCATCTTATTAATGTTCATACCATAAGACAGCTAAATAAATAGATCCAATTTGCTACACTGTTCACAATTGTGATGGACACACTGCATTAACTTGGTGAACCCATCCATGCTATCTTTAGCCTGTATTATGATTCTGTTCACTATTTAACTCCTACACCACTTATTAAAAAACAACTCATCTTTATGACACCTTTAAACTTGATGAGTTTTCAGCACTATGGAATCTGCTGCAGTAATTTCAGTGTATTATCCACCACCACCACAGACAAGATCTACAATGAGTTTGAACAAGAATTTGGGGAAAGACTTTTCGTTATGAATTAACTGAAAATACAAAATAATAAGAAAGTAAAAAAACTAAAGCTTTCAGAAGTTTTTTTAAGTACGGGTGCTGCAAGAGCAAGTACTTGATTATGGATATGTACTACACAACTACCATATAGCAGAGATCTGTGTAAGATCACACATCATCAGCATATGATTTAAACACCTATAACTTCTAAAACATATCTTAAATGTTGTAACTTTGCAATAATTAACTCCCCTGAAAACATTCCAGCAACCTTACAGAGTGAAGTAAAATGAAAACAAATTGATTTATCTCCAGATTAAAAAAAAAAAAAAAACAACAAAAAACCCCACACATTCAATAACTTACAGAGATTCTACCCAGAAATATGATTTAAACACCTATAACTTCTAAAACATATCTTAAATGTTGTAACTTTGCAATAATTAACTCCCCTGAAAACATTCCAGCAACCTTACAGAGTGAAGTAAAATGAAAACAAATTGATTTATCTCCAGATTAAAAAAAAAAAAAAAACAACAAAAAACCCCACACATTCAATAACTTACAAAGATTCTACCCAGAATAAAATCAACACCGTATAGAAGACCTTGAGAAATTTTAAGCACCTCACATAGTTGTTCTTATGGAATCTGGGCTTCTATAAGAATTTGACTCAGATTCAACATATCTGCATTTTATTTGCCCAAAAATATGTATACCAAGAAGGACAAATCAGAATTGTCACAGGCACTGCCAGTTAAAACATATACTTAAAAAAGCGCTTGAGAGTGCAGCAATACTATTTTCACAAAAACTACAATTATAAAAAAACCATGATACACCAAAACTTCTCTTTGATGTCTTTGCATAGAATTTAGGTTCTCACCTTTCAAATACTTTGTTAATATGAGGCATTTCTTGTAAACAGATGGTCTCTAAAAATGACAGTGCCAATTAAACCTCAGAATTAAGAAAAACAGACACACTTACCAAAATGTCTTAATGTGAATTAGTTCAATTAAAACCACTTGCCTGAGGTAGCTGAAAACCTGAAAATTCTGTATTGCTGCTGATATGCTAACCCCACACTGCCCAAATGGTTTATATATTCGTCAGTAACAGAAAACATGTAAAGAATACTCTCTTGTTCCACCAGAAAAACCACATCATCAGTTTGCAGCCGTACCAGGAAAAGAAAGTTTAATATGAACTAATTTCTTAATTGGTTGTCTAGCATTACAAGCAAGTATAACACAGCAGCAGGGAACTACAACAGCTCATATACCCTCAGGACTAATAAACATCTGGACTACATTAACAAAGCTGATCTTGCTTTCACCCTACCAGAAGATAGCGCTTGAAGACTGCACACTAACGAATAAATCTTGTAAAAAAGTGAGAGTTAACTTACAAACAATTTTGCTCCCATTCCAACTCATTCCCTCTCTGGAGCCAGGAGCTTAAATTTAGCAGCATAATGTAATACAATGAATTAATATTAGTACAGACTGTAGACAATAATATTTATAAACCTAAATAAACTACCCAAATAATAATTTATTGCCTATTCAGTATTTGTGTACTATTTCTACATTCCTAGATCCTGAATATAGGACAGCAACAATCAAAAGTTTCAAGAAACTAACATTTTACTGTGCTAACCTGGCAGATTTTTTTTTTTTTAAATATATTGCATCTTTGAAGTTACAGAAGTGTTTTTTCCCAAAATACAGCATCTACATGGAGCATATCTGTCAGTGACACCAGTACCAAGTGTATATTTAACAAGGAAACACAGGAAAAATAAATGTACTACATTCTCTTCTTCTACCAAACAGTCATGACAAACCAGAAGTATAATTAAAGCCTTATTACATTTACAACTGTAAAATCATAAGATCAAGTAAGAAGTTTCAATGATCTTAACATTGCTTTTTTTAAAGGATTTTACTGGGTTTCAACTTCTAGTGCACAGATATTTTAAAGGTATGTAGGATGAAATGAAAAGATTCAGATACTGTGTGAAATATAGACAGTTCAATGGTTTTATTCAGATCTCTTCTGTCCTAGTGCAGTAAGACCTCACCAAAATAAAGATCTAAAAAAAAGTGCAATGCTTTTTGAGGTAATTTATTTAATTTGTGCTTTCACTTTCTGTAAATCAAAAGTCATCTGTGCTGACTCCTAATTGCAGGTTTACTCTAAGTTTATCAGTACTGGAGTTGCTACAGGGTACTTACATGCCTATAGTGACTATGGCTCATGTACATACCTTGACCCCAATTTTTTTTGAATGTTTGTTACCTGTGTGCTCTTTGCATGCAGCATGTTACAACCTCCATTAAAAAGACAACTAACATGAAATTTGCATAAAATAGATTTTTCAGTGATCTGCAAACCAGCCCATGATTTCAATCTTTAAAAGCATCTTTACTTTCATATTTCAAAATTACTACCAAACTGTGTGTAAAAGTTCTGCAATAGCCATTGCTCCACAACTCTGCCTGTTTTTTTCCACCCCCCCCTCAGTCTGACAGGAGGAGGTTTCTTGTGGGGGTCACACATCTCTCACCTCCCTTCTGTAACCCAGCTTCAGCCACCCTGCAATTCTGCCAGCCTGGTGCATCACTTATGTGACATTCAGCTGGAGCTTTTTTACAAAAGCTACTGGTTGACCAGGGGAAAATATAGTGGCAGTACTTTTTTGCAGTGACAAAGAAAATTGTTAAGTGACCAACATCAGGCTGAGTAGTTTTTCCCGTGTGATTTTCCATGGTAAATCAAACACCAGTCATTACACAGACTACATGTATATATACAGCTCATATATGAGCAAGATTAAATTAAAGGACCCTACAGATGTGCAACCAGGTGAATACAGTTACTGTATTCTTTCATTCATTATGTATCTTACAGTGAAATTTCTCACATGCTACAATAGCGAGGGAAGGCTGATCTATAGCCTCCAGACTTTCTGAAGGGCGGCAGACTTCCTTACCACCCTTAAACACCTTTGAACAATTTTTCCTGCACACAGCAGGCCCTTGTCCTGTGCTACAGCCTGACCACCCACTGTTGCTTGTTGACCAAACACACAGTGCCTGGAGCCCGCACCGACACAACCAGGCTAAGATTCCTTTCAAGGACACCGCACTGAGAATTTCAAT